CAAAAAACGGGGCATTTATACCTATAAGCGCCAGCGCGGGTCAAATTTACCCGCTATATAATGCCTGTATGTTCGCACTGTCATTTTCGTGCCGCTTATGTTTTAACATAGTACATTGCTAGGCAACGCCTTTCACTCACTGAATTAACGGTTATCAGTTTCATAAATAAAGACAAAATGAGTAAAAGAAAGCGATTTATGAATGCTGAAGAGGTATAAGAAGCACTAAATGCCATGAGCGATGGAGAGTCTGATGGTGGGGAGATAAGTAAAGCGTCCTGTCGGCTCAGCATCTGACGGTGATCAATATATCATATTTAGATGTTTTATCCTAATGTTACACATAATTGTTCAAAATTTGGATTAATTATTTAATTTTAGTTTTGCCATTTCTATCGTTTATTGTTCGCTTCTGTGTTGCTATTTATTCTAGTCTGCCTGTTTCCTGAAGAAAAAAAATCCGATCTGATGTAATGAATAAAACCTTTTCTTTTTTTTTTGATTACCCGAAGTTTATTGGTGCTCTTCTTGTATAATTCAAATTATGAATGATATAACTAAACAAATTAATAATTAATTAGGTGAAGCTGTGCGCTTGAATTTGTCATGGCATCATCCTATGCAATGTGGTGAATTAGGCCTATTATTGCTCATTATTGTCTATAGGCTATTTTAGTAATTTAAATAACATAGGTTATCTTAATATATTGATTAATGACATTGTATTATAATAGCCTATTACACCACCCAAATATGTATTTACTTCCTTCTAATTATCGTTGTCAGTGCAGGCTTGTTTATCTTAATATTGACCGTTATGAAAAGTGACTTATGTTTCCTGCATAAAAAAGCCTTGAACATAAAACAACAGGACAAAAATATAGTTGATGACTAGACATAATCATTTCATGACTCTAGACACTTCTTTGTGAAGACAGTAGCATAATACAGTGAAATAATATGTTCTTTAGCCATTCAAAAACAGCTGTCATGTGCGTGGGTAAAATTTACCTGCTGGCGCTTTTAGGTATACAGCGACCCCTGGCGGTTCTAGTGTTTAAACACTAGACATCACATAGTTGCTGACTTTATAAATGGAAACAGAGAAAACTGGTCATCATACACTAAAAGGCTGAGGATCACACACTACCAGACTTTCAAGTTGTTCCAAACACAACACACTCACACAAAACATGTGCCTGATGGCTAGGAGACGCATGACAAATTAAATGTGTTCTAAAATTGGCTTAGAATATCAACATGTTTGATATCCTGGATGGAATTATAGTCTGAATCTACACTACATGATTCTGTCCAAATCTGCAGCCTAGATATGACTTTTATAGAACTAGGATTGTCAATGCCAGACTGTAAATTGGGGCAAAAATCTGGGGAAAAGTTATGTAGCATATTTCAGCTTTGAGTCATTCATTCACTCACTCACTTTCTCGCTTATTCACCCATTCACTTTATTCATTAAATGACTGTACTTTCAGTCACACACTGACTCAGTCTTTTATCATTCACACAAAAATCACTTCTTAATGAGTTTTTAATTAGCCTCTTTAACTTTTTTTTCCAGTAAAAAAATATCCCTGAAACAAGATATATTTACTTGAGAAACAACACTGCATATGATTTCATTCACTAGTTTTCAGAGAGTGCATCATTAATACAAGTGTATTTTATCTTACTGTACTGGCAGATTTTTTTTGCTATTTTGTTTATTTGTAAGATTTTAAAAAGTATCCCATTTTAGATACTTAAACTGGAAAATAAGACAGATATTTTAAGAATCATTCTCTCAAATTTCCTTGTCAAGGTTCCATTCATTTCCAACCTCTCTCTCTCTCTCTCTCTGCTCTTTTCCTCCCTCACTGTTAAAGGATAGGAAGGGGTAGCCCAGGCTGAATATTTAAAGACGTTCTGATCCTCAATTGAGCCTGCCATCCATCTTTAGAGTCCCAGTCTGTCAGCTCCTATATCACACCCACTGCAACCACACACCAAACCATCTGGACAAGACACTCAGAGCCGTTTCTTAACCTAGTTATTTGACAATGACCTCCTGGCAAGATTGTGTTCTGGCCAAACTGTTTCTTTCTTGCTGCATTTTTTAAAAAGACTTAACCCTGACCAACATATAAGGCTTTTTAAGTCATTACAGTTGACAACTAGTAACTGAACACTGCCTATTAGTTTACATGCTTGCGGTCTTTGTAGTGTCCTATTGATCTCATGGTCAAAGTACCTGAATGATGACGTTCTCTACAGCAAAAACATGTACACGGACAGCGCTGATTATTCACAGTTAATGATTCTCCTGACACAGCAAGACAATCGAGAGCACAAAACCTAATCTAGTTCGGTGTTTAAATTGTTATTGACATTAAAGTTTGGCCTGGTTGAACCCACAGCAGTTAAATGGGAAAACCTGAAACCATCAGATGAAATCCAATGAGCAGAATGTGGGTTGGCATCCCAGTTCATATTCATGTGGTAAATGTTTAGCATTAGCAGTCCTGGAAACATGTATTTCCAGGAGCCAAGTTATAAATACCTTATTTCCCATGTTCTCTGTTTTTAAGTGAGTTTTCTTCCCTGTGAGTGTGACAGTCAATACACAAGCAGTTGTGAAGCGCACACCAGGGAGAACTGTTGAGTTTTAAGATGGCTTTTGGAATTGACTTGCTTTGTATTTGGCCTTTGAGAGTAAGTCTTGTTCTGCTGGGAGGTTATTGACACTAAGCTTTATTTTATTGCATCTGTGGATACGTAACCTTAAATTTCACTTAACCATCCTGTTTTCATCTTTAATACCCAGTTCAATGTTATTCTTGTCAACAAGGCTTTTTGTTTCGTCAGCAGTAATAAAACATAACAAAAAATATGCATCATGGTGATAATTAAGTGGAAAAAAAAAGAAAAAATACAAGATGTTAACACTGCACTTATAATGTTTTTAGAAGAAGAAATTGGTATTTTGATAACTGGTTAATTAGCTCATTCAAATGCTTTATTTATATTAGATGAAATTACTAAATATTTATTTGGTCTTTTACAGTTTGGCACATTTTCATGTTTTCATATTCATTTTCAAAAGTTTGGGGTCAGTTTTCAACATTGATAATAAGAAGAAATATATCTTGAGCGCCTTAAAACCATTATTTTAAACTGTAATAATATTTCATAATATTACTGTTTTTACCGTATTTTAGATCAAATAAATGCAGCATTTGAGTGGTAGGGTATGCCATATTTTGCACTGAAATGTTTTTGTGAATGATAAACCATTTCATTCATAGCAAAATGGACTAAAATTAATAAATATAACAAGACTAAATATTGACTAGATTTAAAGGACATTTTTGTCAAAACAAAACTACGGAAACATTTACTGACTGTGTCCTTGTCAGTGAAGCTGTTATGCTTTCTGAATAAAGTAAAGCTGTTTTTCTGAGTTAGACGTCGTGAGACAGTGTTTGTCTCAAATCATTGTTTTTGCAGATTTGCTAATCTGGTGCCTTTTAATTGACGTGCAAATGCATAAGGTTGCAATTTACATACTTTTTTTTTTAGGTCAACATCACCCTGAGCATTTTGGGACAATATGTTGGACTAGTTCTGCAGTGGAGTGCACGGAAACTAAATTTACTGTCTATTGTCTTGTTTCTTCTTGGCGGCCACCGGCTTTGAACACACTGCTCTTATCGCCGCTGTCCTCTTGTTCTTGCTGTCTTTCACAGAGGGTCAAGAGATGAAGGTGGGTGAGTACAATGCCATTGCAGATGTACTGGACCTTATCAACAACACCATCAGGTTCCAAGGTAGGAAAAGCCCCGTTTGTGTGTGTTTTCGGGTCAGCATTTGACTGAGAGAGAGAGACAGAAGGTTCACACGCCTGCCAATGTTGTGTACTCACTGTTCCATGTGTGGTCATCTGAATAATTCAAGAGTTATTTTTCTGTTTGCCCACATTGGCATTCTTTTGTTTGTTTTTTTCCATAATCCCTGGATATTTCTTTTCTTTTCAAACTGCCTGTGTGGAAAACAGTGGTGGACAGGAAGTAAAACATTTTATTGTCTGTAATGGAACTTGTAAAGAGGATCTGAGGAAATCATTTGGCATACTTACCCTGTAAAGCCTGACATATGAAATAATAGTCCGGAAATGTAATTGTTTTGAAATAGAACAGATTATTGAACCTAAAATCTAAAAAATAAAAAAATATGTATTTTTTTAAGTATCGTATTTGATACATTATGGCTCAAATAGTATGCTATAGGAAAATACGGAGCTCAAACCCAAGGAGAAAAAACACTCAGTTTGAGCAAAATTATGCAAAACATATAATCTAATGCAATTTGATGATGATTGTACAAGTGTTCCTCAAAAGCCTGTTTAATCATATTTGATACTCACATTTTAGCATGATTTTCCATACAGTTTTTTATAAAATATAGTCCCAACTTCTGAAGGAGGAAGTTTTTATAATAAAAAGGCCTTTTACTACCTTAAAGGGATAGTTCAACCAAAAATGAAAATTCTGTCATTCAGAAAATTCACCCATAAGACCGTTCATCTTCAGAACACAAATTAAGATATTTTTAATGAAATCCGAGAGCTTTCTGACCCTCCATAGACAGCAATGCAACCGATACGTTCAAGGCTCAGAAAGGTAGTAAGGACATCGTTAAAATAGTCCATGTGACATCAGTGGTTAATTCTTCATTTTATGAAGCTACGAGAATACTTTTTGTGCGCAAAGAAAACAAAAATAACGACTTTATTCAACAAATTCTTCTCTTCCGTGTCAGTCTTCGACACACGTTCACAAGAGTACCACAATGCATGTGTGTGGTGTGGCTGACGCAGGAGCCAGGTTTTTCAGCAATGATTTGATTATATTGTTAATTTAAAGTCCAAACGTGCATATTAAATGTGGCACAGTAGGCTTTATAGGGTTAAGTGGGGAAAAAAAGTTCAAACACTGAGCACAACTGAGTTTGTTTTCTCAATTCGACTGAAAAAAGATTCTAAACCATTTGCTTTTGAGCTAATAGCAGTAAAGCCTCACAGTAGTACTTGGAAACGCGCAGGTTGTCAAGACATCGAGTTTGTTCACGCAAGTCACGCAAACAACTCTTGACTCTTTTTGGTGACTCGTTTGGTTTAAGTGCTCGACTGTCTTCCAACTTCTCATTATGATGTAAGATCTAATCGCATCTTACATCACGACCACCGCCACCATTTTTAAACCCGTCCACAAACATTATTATGTAACCTTGGGCAGAAATAGAGCTAATATGTCACATTAGTGACTAGATAACCCCATCAATTCTCTCTCTAGTTGGTATGACATTTTAAAACCTGAGTCATTTAAATTACACAGGAGCGTCTTCCTAGGAGATGTTGAAAGCTTTCTCAGAGGTGACGTTGAGAGTGACTGTGAATCATTATGACTCTTGTAGGTGTTGAACCGCCGAAGGATCGGACGTTTGTGCGTCTGCAGCGCCGGCAAATAAATGTCCCCCTCTACAGCATCCTGTCTACCATCACTATCCTGGGCATGCTCATGGGAGGAGCCTTCCTCTTCTTTAACATCAAAAACCGCAACCACAGGTCAGTGCTGAGCAAGACTATGAAAGGAATTAGTGCAAGAATGAGACCACATTGAAAATCTGGGATCGTTTGTTTCATATGGAAATAAGTTTTTAAGATTTTGATAAATGTAAAATAGAAAAGTTAGGATAGGAAAAGTTTGTATTTAAGATTCTGCATTAATTTTGAGTCAGTCTAGATACACTACTGTTAAAAGATTTGGGGTCAGAAAGATTTTTTTATTTTTTTTTAATTAATAATTTTATTCATCAAGGATGCATTAATTTAATCAGCAGTGATGGTAAAGACATTTATAATGTCACAAAAGATTTTTTAATTAATAATTTTATTCATCAAGGATGCATTAATTTAATCAGCAGTGATGGTAAAGACATTTATAATGTCACAAAAGATTTCAGTTTCAAATAAATGCTGTTCTTTTAAACTTTCTATTCATCAAAGAATCCTGAAAAAAAAACGTATAATGTTTGAAATGTTTCCTGCGCAGCAAATAAGCATATTGGAATGATCATGTGACACTGAAGACTGGAGTAATGATGCTGAAAATTCAGCTTTACCATCACAAGAATAATTACATTTTAAAATATTAAAATAGAAAAAGGTATTTAAAATAGAAAAGGGTATTTTAAATTGTATACTTATTTCAATAGTGTAAAATAAATGCTCTTCTACTAGTGGTTTCAGACTTTTAGATCCCGCAGTATATGATACAGTCATAGATGTAGATGCACATTTAATTGCAGTAGTTAATAATTAATGAAATGTGAATATTTAATGTATCAGATGTGTGCTTCCCTCCATCTGCAGGCTGATCAAAATGTCGAGTCCCTATATGAACAACCTGATCATTCTAGGGGGCATGCTGTCATACGCCTCCATTTTCCTCTTTGGTCTGGATGGATCCTTTGTGTCAGACAAGGAATTCGAGACCCTCTGTACTGTGAGTAATGAATGATTTCTGTGAATCAGATGTGAACATGGGTAGACCATGGGTTAGTTATCACACTTTTCACTCCCATAAACGTTCTAAGTTTTTTTTTTTCCTGGCTGCAAACAACTGTAATGGATAAACTGTGTCAATAATAAGCAAGCATAATGATTTTAGTGTGAAGAACATTGATAATTATTGTACTATAGGACTAATTTATGACATTGGTGTTTTAAACATAAAATTTCTTAAAAAATTTTTACAATTTCTCCAGCAAAACCAGTGCTAGAGAAAACAAACTTTTGTGCAACTGGACATTCGACTCAAAACCTTTTAAAGATTGAGACAACTCCCCCTTAGACAACGAGCCCTGGTCTCCTCTGTATTTGAATCTGAACACTTTTCACCTCTGCTACTCAGACTGTCACCAAACTGAGTAAGCATGATTGGATGTGTCTCGTCACGCTTCCACTGCCTGTTTGCATGTGACCATAATCCACCTTTTAATTACGAGGCTTTGGCTACTGCAGTAGCTTGAGACTCAGGGGAAATAGCTCACAAATGTGTTGAGCAGGACACATGCTACCTGCCTGAAATTGGTCCGTCTTTCCGGCCTGTGAAGATGAAGGCTTGCATTGCAATATTAAGGAGATAGTAAAACTGGGCATTCATTAGTCATGCTTTTTTATTAAATAAAGTTGATTTTGTTTGCTTGCTTGCTTTACCCTAGACAAAATGGGTTGAACTTTTCAGGGATCAACAATAAGGACTTTTCTGCTAATATTTTTTCAACATTATCAACCTATTTTTAGAAATGAATTGATTTATTCACAACTATTTAGAAATTAGTTATATTTTTAATTCCTGTAAATAAATAAAAAACAGCTTACAACAATTTAATTCAGGTTTTTAAACCATAAAATGTGTCAACTATAAATTCATAAATTAGGTGGAAAGAACTCACATATGATTATTTAATTATGATTTTCACCCCTTCTATGTGTCCAACATGATCAAATTTCAGTCACAATTTTAACATGTATTCGGTGACAATTTAACTCAGAAGAATTCACAACAATGCCCAACACATCACACATAAAAACCACATAAAAACCTAAAATGTACATGATCTTCAAACAAGGTCTAGTGACAGCACTGCAGTTCCATAAACTGGCTCCAAACTTTCTAACACTGTCTGCAGGCCATTCTTATCGTTTATTCCTGCCTTTCACATGCTAAAATTTTCTTTCCCAGAGGACCTCAGAATAAAGAATACTAGGATCTGTGGGAGAGAGCAAGAGAGACAGAAGATGAAGCGAGGACAAAGAGAAAAAATTATGCCTCGGGAACTTCCACGGAATTCACTACACACCCTGGCACCCAATTAGCTTTCTGATAGCAGGCGTGGGATCATTAGATTTTATGGTTTTGCAATTTCTGCTGATTTGTATTCTATAGACTGGTGTTAGAGTCCAATCTTATTTCAGTGCCTAAATTATAAGAACTACTGATTTGTAGTAACCTTGTTTTACTTTCACATTTAATGTCTTAGGTCCGTACATGGATCCTTATTGTGGGTTACACAACAGCGTTTGGTGCCATGTTTGCAAAGACCTGGAGAGTGCACGCCATCTTCAAGAATGTAAAAATGAAGAAGAAGGTGAGAAATGGGCTTTCAAAGCATGTCAGATACAGCATTGCACACCATCTACATCTTGAAGTAACCCTCATGGAGTGGCATTGCAGGTTAACTTGGCCAAAAACACTGGTGCATGACAATGAAATGTCTTACATACAAAATAAATAAATAAATAAAAATAGATTTCAAATAATCATTATCAATATTTGAACAATTTGTTTACTGTTTGAACATTTGGGGTCGAAATAAGTTTCTTATGTTCACCCAGGCTGCATTTATTTGATCAAAAATACAGTAAAAACAGTATTATTGTGAAATATTATTATAATTTAAAACTTTTCTAATTTAATATATTTTAAAATGTAATATATTATTGTGTAATTAACTCAAAGCTGAATGATCCTTCAGAAATCGTTCTAATGTGTTGATTTGGTGCTCAAGAAACATTATTATTATCAATGCTGAAAACAGTTGTGCTGCTTCATATTTTTGTGGAAACTGTAATAGATTTTATCCAGGATTCTTTGATGAATAGAAAGTTTAAAAAACAGCATTTATTTGAAATAGAAATCTTTTGTAAGATTGTAAATGTCTGTACTGTCACTTTTGATCAATTTAATGCATCCTTGCTGAATAAAAGTATTAATTTTCTTTTAAAAAATCTTTCTGACCACAAACCTTTGAACAGCAGTGTGTATATTATCACCTCTAGTCATATGGCATAACTGATTGGTTTCCAGTGAGGCAGAACACACAGGAACTGGAATAATTTGTCATCATAATCATCACACTTCAGTGCATTTTAATGGTGGTTATTATATTGAAGAATTATAATACTAAAAACAGAACAGAACAATACTGCAGTTTATACATGGATGTTGGAATGGAGGTGTAGATAATGCGATGGAGAAATAATGAGAGAGAGAGAATTAAAGAAAGAGAGACCAGTTCCATGCTTAAAACATCATAGGAAAGCAGCCTCGCCACTGGGCTGTCAGCTGTCTCATTTTTTGACTGCCAAAAAGCTAAAATATAGAAATACTGTCTTCACTGAAGGTCAGTTTGCTTTCTCCATGCTCCTGACACATCCAGAATCAGCCAGCACTGCCAGTGCTAACCAATAAATCTCTGATCTCTTCTAAAGAACAGTGTCTTCCTGCACTGCTAGACACGGTCTTGTGTGCTAGACAAGTCTGTGTGTCAATTTTCTCCACAAGAAAAAGCATTGCACTGCTATGGGGAATAGTGCAGTGGGTTTCTTTTGAACAGAAGCTACGCACAAGTGCATCCACGCAGCTCTTGAACACAACAGATTAATGTGTGCACACTGACCTCCTTTCATACGCTCTTTCTCTCGCTGCTCTTGTTTTTCAATGCAGTGTAAGAATGTGGCAAGCGAAGTAGCTGATACTGTGTGACCAGCTCCCTGCTGGCCATCTTTATTTATAGAGTTCGCAGCCTACTTCCACTGCTGCAGTCAGAATCAGTGGGATGAGATCAAACATACTCAAGAGAAAGTAAGACAGAGGGTGATAAACATTACTGCAGAGACCTAGCCATAACTTCAAAGTAATCATCCAGGTTCAATACAGTGTTATCTTAGTATTATTTATATACTATTATGAATTAGTTTTTATTTTATATTTTCCGTTTTTATTTTTTATTTTTGTTAGATTGTAGTAATTTTATTATGCTTTTGTCATTTTTATTTGTTTCATTTATTTTTAAAATATTTCTATGTACAGTAGCTTTTAATTACTTTTTTTTTTTTTTTTTCCCTT